TCGTATCTAGTATCCTTAGTGTCATTGACACAGGCGAACCAGCACTCCTCATGTGCTGCCATCTTGCCAGGGCTCCCTTGAGAAAGAGTTTTAAACCTTTATGGGAATTACTCTAGTAAAATAAAGAATAAGTAAAAATAAAATACAATCAAACTATCAAATTCAGTTTAACTGCACTGGTTTGGTCTTGGTCTTGACTTGATCTCGCCTTACCTCGGTCTTGGTCTTGACTTGGTGTCAGACCCTTAAAGTCTTGGTCTTGGCTCGGCCTCGATTTAGGTAGCGTTGACCACAGCATTAGTTTCAACCAAACAAATTCCTTGGAAGCCAGAATGACCACATTTCACTTCAACATTTTGGGGGTTTTAATTACATTAAATTGCATGCCTGTTTTTGCTAGTTTGCTGTTTATATTTTCATTGTGGAGGACCACCGCTGTGTCTGAGAATTGCCCTCTGCAAAAACAGACAGAATGGCACATCCCCAGGGATGCTTCTTCTTCTTTTACTTCTTCTTCTCTCTCTCTCTCCCTCTGTGTGTGTGTGTGTGTGTGTGTGGCTACATTTGAGACCAGATCCCAATAAAGTATTCAGCCAAAAGGTCCAGGGTTGCAATGACTGTAAATGTGGTTCTCACGATGGAGGCTGGCTAAGATCGACTGGGTCAGTGCATCAATGGGAATTAGACTTTTTCTGATGTGAATTAGGGAACTGCAAGGCTGTATTAGCAGACAAAGGTATTTAGACTTATGGGAAATGCTAAAGATAGTTACCGCTTTGCATAAAAGCCAAAATGTCTATTATCATGCACTGAACCACTTTTTAAACAACAATAAACTACACAACATCCATACTGTCACTTCATTTACAGTCAGCAACTGAATTACAAATGTGTTTTTACATTCAGGTAAAAATCACAATTTATATAGATTGCAAAAGGTGTATTGATAATAAATAATTGCATTTTTATTTTTGGATGACGTGCAATAGCCAGTTGAACATATCTCCTGTAGTACTGAATGAGCTTTACATTTGAAAAGGTATTCTGTAATCAACTGACTTTTGTGTATGTATGTGTTTATGTTAATGACATGCATCCATATTCACATACAGTATTTACTGTGCTTTATTACACGCCTGTTTCTGGTCTTTGGCACTTTGATCAAGCTCCTATTTGCTGGGCAATAGGTTTGTATATATGGCAGTTACATTTTTAGACTAGAACCTGACCCAGACCTCATATGGATTTCAGATTCTAGGGTACATGGGCAGCCATGGCTTCTTTGGTACAGAACAAACCCAAAGCTTACTAACACCGGGGACTGTTAGTAGAACTCCACAATAAAATTATGGTGAGGCATAGATCCAGCCAAGGGTATGGCAACACTCCATCAATCAGTCTGTTATGGTAAAGTGGTTAGACAGAAGCCACTTTGAGTAAGAGGCATATGACAGCCTGCTTGGAGTTTGAAAGTCAGCA